ATACGCGCGTTACGTCGCGTTGCCACGTGATGGATGGTCTTAATCTTCATGGCCTCATCTCTTAAGGGCGAAATGCATGCGCGCGCGCACGCATTATTTATGATCGTTTAAGTGAATCGCGCGTAAATCGATACGATAAGTATAATTAATGAGTAGGTACGAGTACATACACGGGATGTATCGGCACATATTGTCCAAAGTACACGGTTGCCCTCGAGAATCGTAATAATTTTTCATTAACACTCCGTTTCTCTCTCTCTCTCTCTCTCTCTCTCTCTCTCTCTCTCTCTCTCTCTGTCGAGTCGGCAGTAATTGAAACGAAAGGAACTTTATGACATTTTTAAAGGGCGATTTGCAATGGGATTAATACAGTGTAATAAGTTGTAAATCGTAACAAATCAGCCGAATGTGGGGAGAATAATCGATTATCAATTTCTTATAGATTACTGTTTGTACTGTTAGAACTTAAAGGAACGATCGTAATCCCAATTCATTGAGTTAAATAACTTTTTAATTTTTTTAAACTTCCATCTGTGTCAAAATGTAAATTAATCTATTTCTGTGGTTAGTTTCAAAGTAAACGTTCGTATGCACTTAGTAAATAATAAACTAGAGCTGTATTAATATTTTAAAATATTACTTAAGACAATCTTAAAATAAAAACGAACTATAAAAGCCTAAATTTAAGTCAAATTTAATATTTTTTCTTAAGATTTAATATCTTTTCTTGATTTTTTTCTTTAAATTTAACTCCATTGTTTTAGTCAAATTAACTATATATTGGGTAGCAGCATTGGCGATCTATAGATAATAAGATTGAGATAACTCGAATTGAATATAACTTAACGTTATGAATTTAACAGAGTATTACGCAATATTACTTTCATTGTAAACACTCTATTATGCTTCGATAAACTGTCGAGGCAACATAAACGATTTTTCCATTTAGAACCGGTTGTTCAATCTTCAGATAAGCTACGTGATAATTTATTTACTGAATAAACAAAAAAATAAAAGAATAAGAATATAAGAGAATAAGAGAGTAAGGGTGGGTTCAGACCTAGAAAAGCAGAAAACAGAAAAGCAGCAATCAATCAGAGCTCGCGCTGGTAGTCGCTAGTTTCGACTGCTTACTATCAACGCAAGTTTTGATTGGCTGCTGCTTTTCTGTCTAGGTCTGAATCCACCCGAAGAGAATGAGCTGAAGTTTCTCGAAAGGTAAAACAACCCAGCCTTAATTATTCAATCGCATCAGAATGCAAAAACTGTGCGATATGGAGATTCCTCTTGTCAAGGAAAAGAAAAATGTACTATATTTTCCATGTGTCAACTATGAACTATGAACGATCGTTATGCTCGATAGGATTAGTCCTCCTGGGAAGTGAATGGATTATCCGAGCGATTTATCTCAAAGGTACGTCGCACAATTCACCCCCCGTAATGTTACGATCCAGGAAAGGTATTCGTTACAGGGAGAACGCTTACGGCTAAATGACACGTCTCGATACGGCTTTATTAAAAACGGTGCATCGTGTGAAAGACAGGCGCGGTCCCTCTTTTTCTCTCTCTCTCTCTCTCTCTCTCTCTCTCTCTCTCTCTCTCTCTCTCTCTCCTGTTCTTTCTCTTTCGATAACGATACAGTTCTTTGTATCGCAACGCCGAGCCAATAACGAAAGCCGTCTCGTTAGCGCGATTTTTCACCCCGTTCCTCCCGAGCTGTCGTGTCAGCGCATTCTCGCAACGGCCGCGCGTCGCCGACGACAGATTTTAATTAACGATACGCGCGCACGAGACCGGCATGCCGGTGTGCACCTCGAAAAGGATGATCGGTCCCGGTTTTCCGCCTGTGTCGTGGTTTTCACTATCATCCCTCTCTTCTCCTTTCAAGCGCGACTGACGTCACGCCCGTATCCCGCGGTTCGGAGACGCCGTGATATTATAGGCGGTAGAGACTTCGCAAACCTCCGCCTCTTTGATCTTGTGACGAGAGATTATTTCAGCGGAACTATTATACGCGCCGAGGTTTCCTTGAATATCCTGTACGTTAATTTGTCCGAGTTCATGAGCGGGTGAAAATTCAGGAGGACGATTTTAAGACAAAGGGAGCCGCTAAGTGAGAGCACGAATTAAGGAAGGAACAAAAAAATTCACTCCGCTTCTGGAATTTTGCTTCCAGACTTTCTGCCGTCGTTCTTGCACTGAAAGAACAATTTTGCTTAAGTATCTAAAAAAAATTTAGCTAAACGTAGATCTGAAAATAATTTTGTGGGAATATTAAAATAATTATGTAGGACACATAATGAGCAATGCTGAAAAAAATTTTGATGTTCTAGCTAAACTACATGGAAAAAAAGATTGGATAAAAGATCGGATTTTTAATTGTTAAAACACAACACACACACACACACACACACAATTAAAAACTGATTTAGCAAATATCTACAGTCGTAGTATAAATACACACAGTTTTCTATATTAAAATAGCAAAGTTGTAGAGCTGAATAAAATTAGCGATTATATTTGTTGTAATAGTACAATCAATTTATTAACACAACAAAGATAACTTTCTTGAGAATAAAAATCAATCCAATATATATATAGATATAAAAATTTTTTACAAATCATACTAGTTAAGATGACACGTTTTTTTTTTTGCTATTGTAATAAAGAAAATTGTTACATTAATCATTTTCATTGTAGCAAAAAATTAGCTGAATTAACATATTAATTGTTTGCGGACATAATTTCTTTGTTGAACCATCTAATCTTTTTAATTATAGATGTTGAACTTTGTACAC